TTTGGTTACATCATATTTATTTTTTCTTTTGTTAATTAAAAGGCTCAAGAACGCTTTGATAATGTGATTACCTTCTTATGTGGGAAATAATTATATATACCATATATTATATAAATAAATATTAAAATTTTGTGTACTTACGAGCTCTGCCTTTCACGATTTTCTCGTCTTTGCATTTCTATTGCTGTGGTCGCAATTTTGCGTTTCTTATCGCCTTAACAGCCAGCAAACTGAAATGTGGATTGGTGCAGCAGATATGAAAGGTTTTGCAAATATTTGCAAAATAGTCACAAAACCAAGTACTTGGTTAGTGTGAGAAAGTGCTTATGGAAGTTTAACGAAAATTGTGAATTTAACTTATAGACGTGAAGTTAAAAAAATTTCAATTACAACGACTAAAAAAACTCGAGGGATATTGATATTGACGGCGTGTAACAATGTTGAGTTACGTTTGTACGCTATGTGTTTGCCGCCACACGCACGCGCACGCACTTCCTCACATGCCAGGGCACGCGAATTCTTATGCAATATAAAATTAATGTTATTTTATTGTTGTTGTTCAATGCGTTATTTTTAAACGGTTGTCGGTGATATTCAATATTCGATGAATTCAATTGCGATACTGCACGTTGTTTGTTTGTGATTTGCGATTAGCGCGTTACCCGTTTGCTATTAATTCAATCCCTTCTCTAACAAACTGAAATGTGTTAACGACTTTTAATTTGTCGACTATGGTTACACTGGTCTGAGATATGCCAAATTACATCGTTGTTTTGTTTCTTTTTTTGTTTTTTTGTTCGAAATTGATATCTTATTATAATCTCCGCCGGATGAAAAGAATTTGCTGCCGTTGATATAGATTTGGTATATCGATGATGTAAAAAATTAGTTTAGTTTATTTTTAACCGCATGTTTTTTGTAGTGACGAAATCATATCTTCACACAAATATTATTGAACTGAAAAATTGTTAATGACAAAAAAATTACAATTGAGCATTTGTTAGTTTGACATAATTTATATTGTGGACTGTGGTGGAGCATTTGCATTTATTGTCACCAGGCAGAGTTTACAATATTGCTTTGTTCCATAAATCCACTTTCTCTAAATATTCAAGTATTGAAAATTTCCGTGTCGGATCAGTAACCGTATAAGCATGCGCTATTGAATTTAATACAATTTTTTTTTAATATTAAGTTTTTTCGGAGTAGAAATTGGTAAATAATTTTACCTCCAATAGGAATATAAATCGATTTTTATCTATTAACTAAGCATTTCAAAAATATATTTTCTTGTCAAATTAAACGTTGTAACCATTAATAACAAAATGTATTATATTTATTTGAAAATTTGCTTGACACCCCCGAAATCTTATGAACATAAACATCCGGTTTACAATTACTTTTGTTGTTGTTGTTGTTGTTGTTGTTATTATTATTTTTTTGCAATTTTTAAGTTAGTTTAATTCGGTTAGTTAATAATTTAACCTAGTCGAGTTTTTTATTTGTGAACTGGATTTTTGTTTGTTACTTTTGAAAACGTTTCATTCGCACAGAAGCATAAACGATGCATACAATCCCGAACATTAATTAGCACTTGTTAGGCGTTATTCTCACTTATTTTCGAAATATTGTTTAAACATTTAGCATTGGTGTTTATTTATCAGAATCTGTATATGCACTCAGTTCGAATAGTTTTTGCAATGTTTGCGAAATATGTATGTATGTATATACGTTGTAACGTGATCTTGATGGTGTAGTTGAAATTGTTCTGAATTATTAATTTTAATCTGCAAAAATAAAAAGTGTATAAGTAATGCATATTTTTTTTATTTATATTAAAATATTTTTCTAATTACAATATTATACATTTGTACAGATACTTAAAACCTTATTAAGAAAGCAATAACGAATGTGATTTTTATAGAGGGTATATTAAATAAACAACGAAGTTTGAAACCGTCCTCCGTTTGAGAAGCTCTTACAAAATTTTTACAAAATTTGGCATAGAGTTTTATCAAGCAACGCAACATTCTCCGCAAAAATTGCTCAGATTAAACCACTATCGGAAATAGCTGTCATTTCTTGCATGGTAACTGTTTCATTTGAGAAGGCATCTATCCCAAATTTGATTCCGATCAGGAACTATTGTATTTAAGATATTAAAGCTTCGGTGCAAAGTTGTAAACGTTGTTTCATAAATTTTTTTTTTAATATGTACATATAGTATGTATGTATATTTGATTTAAAACCTACAAAATATTATATTCAAGTACTAACACCTCTATATTCATATGGTGTGTTCATAAATATTGTGTATAAAAAATAGAGCCGTCCACAAATGTATGTACGAATTTTCAGTAATGCTGGTGATGATGATTACTCGTATAATTTAAAACTGAGTCCAAAAACTATTAAAAACATTTATGTATGTCCTATGTTTATATGAATGTATCTACTTAATTTCACGGTTAACAAATATATATTATAGCAATGTACTTAAGAAACGAAACGAATTCATTAAAAAAAACTCCCGGCAAATGCAATAATAATGTTTTTAAAAATTATTATTAGAAAAAAATATTCCAACATTTTTGGATAAAACACCACCCAATTCATGACTTTTTAAAAGAGAGTGCTAAATATATGCTCTCGGTAAAATACAATTTGCCAATGCAAAGAGAGCGCAAAGTAAACACTTTACACTTTGCAAAAAACATATTCACCACCCTGCAAATTGAGTGAGACAGATAATAGAATTCTGTGTTGTATTGCTTTTAATTTCGAATTAATTTTGATACTTCTCGATACAGGAAGAAAGCACAGTTGCAACACATAGTCGGCATAAAAATAAATTTGCTTAAAATACATTTATAAAATATGTTTCAAACAATAAATACCGAACTTAAAAGTGTTTACAATCAAAAATCTGTACTCGTACTCATCACAACACAATTCAAAATACACCACTCACACCTGCAAATTTCTTATTTGAATATAGGCCAACAAGGCTAGGTAGACACATATGTTTTGCCGAATTTTTTCGCAAAACGAGTTTTATCACATGAAATTCAGTTCAAACAAATTATTTTTATTTGAAAAAGGAAATACATTCGGTTATTCTTTTATAAAGGTAATAATCAAGCCGTGACCACTATGACGTTAAAGACAGGGTGTTATTTGCAGTTTCTTTTTGTGATTTTGGTCTCACATTTGACGTAAAGGTCCACACACATATCCATATATATAGGATATATATATATGCCTCAAAATCATTTAACTCCATTGCATCACAAATGTAATGTTTAATTTATTTTTTTTTTTTTATAAAAACAGTTTTGAGTAACTTTAAGTCATTAACTTTTATATGGACTGATATTTTCGTGCATTTAAAAACATATATGTAATTATTGCAAAATTTTGGTTATGGATCACATCTATATTTGAGGGAAATTCTGCATTATTCATTCGCGCATAAACTAGTCGAGGAAAAAGGCTACAAACTATTTATTAATTATTTTATATCAATTCCAAACAAATTAATATGCACTAAACATTTCACTTTTATTCATATGTTTTATAATTCTAGTAATGAATTTACGATTTTCCTACCACATAAAAACACTTAAAAGAACTGTCTCGCCGACTAGCCCCAGTACAGCTTCACAACGAAGAGGCGAGACGAAAACACCCAATTTCAATCATCGTACCCCACGTATATTTTAGAATTGTCACCCTGTGGTTATGATGTGAAACCGCAGATGGTCAGTTATAAAAATCCACTAACAATGGTACTCTTCAGCCTGAGCATTTACTTATTGCATGCCGCCTTAGTGTGAACGAAACAAAAAACTACATTGTGGTGGAAAACCACACACCAGAAAGCAAAGTTGAAGAAATTGGCAAGCAATTTGGAGAAATCTTAATGGATAAAATGACAATATGAAAATCTTGATATTAATTGTAATTTAAAGTCAAAAATATTAGATTGATTATACATGTTTGTACAATTCTTAGCTATTTTATACTCCAATAAGTGTTTTTTCAAACGAAGGCGAAAGTATGCAAATGCATTATAAAGAATTTGTATAAAGGTTATGATTTTTAAACCACAAAGTTTCTGCACAAAATTGGGGATACTGTCGAAAAGAAGTATTGGCACAATTTGTTAAACATTTATTAGTGAACATAATATCCATTTGATTACTGTTTGTCATTTTCCTTTATTTCTGCTTTACAGTCACAAGTTTTGTGTGTACACGATTTTGTACTTCTTCGTATATTTCATTAATTCGCTTGCAGCTGAGCGCACTATTTGTCTCATTTTGTCGCGAGGGTTTTATGTATATTAAATAATTTTTCGATCAAAACAAGAAGGAGCACACCCTAGGCATTCATGCAACCGAATGAGTGAATTTTTCCGCCTCCCGACAACGATAAGCAATATTTTCTATAATATAGAATTAATACTTGTGCTTTTGTTTAAACGTAAATTACACAATTTCTAGTAAGTTTGCAAAATATATTACCGGAATGATATTCGTCTGGAATATCTTGGCCAAAATGACCATATAATCGCAATGTTCTATATTTACACCACACCAAATCACTGCAGCATGCAAGAGAAACTACGAAAAATAGACGTCTAACGAAACTGGCGTTGCCAAATGTTAAAAAAATATATCCGCGGAAAGTGTGGTGAAATGTGATATTTACAAATTACCGAAAGTATTTTTATTATTAATGCTATGTTTTGCTTGTTATAGCGGCCGACAATGTTTTGTAAACAATTTTGATGATTATTGTCGAGTTGATGTTCCCGAACCGGTTGAAAAACCGTATCAGCTCCAATTACTCCAACTGTAGTGAACTTATATGCCAACAATGCTCCAATAAGAATCACAGTGTAGCTAACCAATTTGTTTTTATTACAAATATATCGGTATTTTATTTCCAATGTTGTGAATATAATTATAAGATATAAAAAATGCTGACACATACATATTACAAAAAACAGTAATTATAAATTAAGACATATATTTTACAAAAATATGAACTAAAGTATTATTAGAAATATACTAGGTTTGTCGAGATTCCACTTCACGAAACTCGGCTGGGTCCGTGAAACGTACAGTTAAAATATAGAAAATCGATGGAAATGGGATAAGACACAAAAAGGCATAATGCTGGCCGAGCGCAATTATACCGTAGGCTAACAAAAGCCAATGTACAGCTAAAGAAAACATTTCATTATCGTACTGGCATCCATATATATGTACTACTTTTTACTTACAAATAATTACGAAATTTTTAACCTCTAGCAAGGAAGAGCGTATTAGCGATTTAAACGTCTGATCCAATTTGATTGAATAATGTATGGCGTTTGTTATCATAGCAATCCCAATGCTTAAATATGGAAAAAACCAATCTAAAAAGAAGCATGTTAGTAGAGAAAACACACTTGTTTGATATAAATGTATAAGTATTCACATACATATAAGGCCGCAAGCAAGTGCATGAATAGATGTCAAAAGCGGGAGGAAGTAAAGTGCCGCATAAATGGGAGCCTTTCCACGTACATCAGTAATAGAGCTAACAATTGGACGTATTAAGAACATTGTTGCTAAGCACAGGAAGTAGAATACGAGAACAATAGTTTGACTGTGTTGAAAAAAACAAAGTTAAAAACTCAAAAATACATACATAAATATGACTTTGGAGTAAGTAATACTTACAGTGGATATACAGCTTCTTGAGTGCAATGCAAACGAGTTTCGTAGTTTGGAGATGGATTGTAGAACAACGTATACCAATCAGTGAATTTACGAACACCACAAGAATGCAATCGAAATTCCCACATTGGTTCCATAAGTAATATGGATAATATTGCCGAAAGTGTTACCTCTATGAAGGCACAGGCCGTAAGTATTAATTGCTTGCGTGAAAATCTTTTGAAATAATGTATAAATATAAATAGTAACAACAGTAATAGTACATTTATGAAATATGGCATAGTATTTACTTGCGATCCTTCGCATTTAAATCAATGAAGAAGCAATGCAGCATTAATGGCAACATTGCCATAAATCCTAAATACAACCAAGAGTAAGTGTTCAATTCATCACGACATGGTGAGCAAACGAATGATTCATTTACGCGATAGCCACGCTCACATGCCCCACAATCGGACCAACTACCATTGTCATGCAAAGTGCGTCCGCAATACTGACCAGGACAACGATCCATGATTCTAGTTTAGTTTAACACTCTTAAAATGTGTAGTTCACATTGGAAAAATTAGTTGCTGTTTTTTATAATTTTATTTAATATATTATAATACATTGAAACTTAGTTTTGTGTTATTGGTTATTTAAATTACAGAAAAACAAACTTTTGCCAATTATTGTTTATCATTTTTAAACAGCTGACACATCCATGCTTTCTTCCATTCACAATTGATCAGCTATGGAGAGAATATTTTTTGCGTCTGGCCAAATGTTTTTTTTAATATTCAATAGATGTCGCACTTACAAAAATTAATTCAATTTAAAAAGAAATTTTAATATTTTAAAAATTAAGTTATGTGGTTATTATATTATGGAAACTTAGAATTAAAAAAGAAACAGAAAGGCTTTATGTTAAAAAGGATAAAGTTTAAGTGCGCTTACAAATTACAATGAGCATAAAGCTAATGGTACCTTTAATTTGAACAAACACAGTTCTCAAACCCTGAATGATCTTTTATCTTCTTTATTCATTTCAAGCGGTTTTAAAAATTATCATTGAATTTACCATTACAATCTTTATTTAATTAATATACCATTTTTTTCATATGTACATAATTATTAATTCTAAAGTTCCAGCTCTCTTAGCGCAAAGTTTAAAATGACAGACATCAGTCCCGCATCTTCTAATTCTAAAATATCTTTGCGCATTTGTTCATTTCTTCTAGGTAATATCAACTAAGAATATAAAAAAATGTAAGAATTTTTAACAAATACTTTTGCAACTTATTACCTTTTTGATATGTTCACGTTTCGCCTCATCCCGACACAATGCCAATGCCACTGCTGCCATATGAGCACGATCCAAGCAAATGCATAGCTCTGCAAATTCAACCAAATTCAACTTGTGTACAATTGGACAGCCCTGAAAAAGTTTATAAAATGTGAAGTTATATTAAGTTAATATAAAGTTTAACTCACCTGCAAGCGGAAGAGAGCCTTTTGCAATACTTCCTCCTGTGCAATTGAACGCGTTTGGTTGGCAGTTTTGAATGGTTGCCACAGCACACATTCCCATGCAACTATTAAGCCCTCTATGTCTAGGATTTTATTTTCGCACGACAATATATCCAATAAAGCGTTCAATTCACGCACCATATTAAACATGGCCATACGCTTCAATATACCATTCCAGATTTTCGAGTGTGATATATCAAAGCCCAGACAAATGTTTGCTAATATTTCGAGTGTGTGCGGATTTTGAGCATTTTGCTTCCAAATCGTTTTTAATAGGTCGACTTTATTGCAATTTGCAAATTTTTCCAAACTTAAATTATAACCCAACTGTCTTAACTCATGCACGCACTTAATGGTAATATATTGCTTTTGGCTAAGTACGTTTTTGAATGATTCACTGCCATCGTTTAATTTTGAGAAACATTCGTACATTTGCAACTGTTTGCTGGTGCTTACACCGCTGAAATTGTTTCAAAATCATGCATGTACTTTTAAACATTTTTTTTTTGTTATGTGAATGCATCACAACCTACCCATCATCCGGAAAAATATGCGCTACAAAGAAGTCTACGGCCTTCTTCTGCGGCCAACTGTTGAGTATGTAATTTGATCTGCATTATCAAAATGAAATGTTAAAAATTTCGACTGCCAATAATTCTAAACAATACCATCACAACCTTATCACATTTTCGGCTGCATTGCCCCCATTCACATCGATAACATCGTCTGTACTCTGTTCTTCGAACAATGTTTCTTCCAGTACATTTTCAGTACTCGAGCGTCCTGTGAAAGATAACCACTTCTGCAGCAATTGTAATTGCATTGCCGCCAAATCTAAATTATGCAATTCGGCTATCTCCTTCGCCACTTGATTAATATCCAACTTGCTCGTTTTCAATATCAGCTCATGATGATAAAGATTATATATAAGTTCTGTTGGATTCTCAACTAGACGCAGTAGTTTCTCTTCGGTAAGACCGTAAATATAAAGTAAATGCTGTGTCTTAAGTATGGGATATTTTCGCTGGATTTTCATCAGTCGATCTTGATAGTTCTCATTGGTTATAAATTCACTATGCTCCAACGCATACTTGTAGCATTCATACGAAGCCTCCACTTGATCCGCGCCATCTGGTGCATAGTTCGCAACAAAATAGAGTATCATAAATGTTTTGGATGGATTGGTGACATGCTTAACGAGGCGCAGTATCTATAGATTCATACAAATCGTGTGGTAATGTGTGATTTACTATTCGCTCAGTGAATTGAAACTTACCGATTGCAGAAATGCATTATTTGTAGGCTGCAAATGCCATATTTCGGACTCATTTTTAGCCTTATACTCGCCAATTGAGTTTTTCACCGCCGACATGCAGAAATAATCGCGTATTTTGATCACATCACTTGATCCTTTGAGCATTGTATGCATTTGCATGAGCGGAAACCAGCTTTCACAATTTTCTACACTCAATTCGTTGTCTAAAACAAAAAAAAATATATGAATAAATAATAAAGAAATAAAAAA